CTCCACGCCCATCTTCTACGCGAACGGGCCGCCGCACATCGGGCACCTGTACTCGGCGCTGCTGGCCGACGCGCTGCTCCGCCACCGCCGCCTGCGCGCCGCGGGCCCGGCCCGGCTCTGCACGGGTCAGCGAGACCCCCGGTCCCAGCCCCTCCCCCGGGGCTGAGCCCCCTCCCCGTGTGCCCAGGCCCCCGTGTCCCCGCGGGGCCGCGGGCTCCGGCCTCTCCCCACGGCCTCTCTCCGTTGCAGGGACCGACGAGCACGGGCTGAAGATCCAGCAGGCCGCGGCCGCGGCGGGGACCTCGCCCGCGGAGCTCTGCGAGCGCGTCTCGGGGCTCTTCCGCCAGGCCCTGACCCAGGCCGGCGTCGCCTACACCGACTTCACGCGCACCAGCGAGCCCCGGCACCGCCGAGCCGTGAGCCACTTCTGGGGTGCCCTCCGCGATGGAGGGGTGCTCTACAAGGGCTCCTACGAGGGCTGGTACTGCACGCCCGAGGAGAGCTTCCTGCCCGAGAGCCAGCTGGCCGAGGGCACGGACGCCCAGGGCCGCCCCTGCAAGGTGTCCCTAGAGACCGGCCACGAGGTAACGGGCTACGGACCTGCTGCTCTGCTCCAGCCAGATTTGGGGTGTTCAATGCTTCCCGTAGGCATTTATTAATTTGTGTTGGCTGAGACTCACCTGTATTTCAGTGGAGTGTCAGAGAGCTGCCAGACCCCACCTGGCAGGTGCACATTGCAGCTATGTGCAACGGGAAGGATTCAGCCCCTTCTGAGTCCACAGGCTGTCAGCCTGGGAATGCTGTTCTACAGGAGTGATGACAGAAGTTAGCTGAACAGGAGGATAACGGTGTATTTCACTGAGGGGTTCCAACTTTCAGTCCTGTTTGTGCCTCTGGACACTTACCCATCTCTTAAATAAGTTTTGGCCCTGCCTAAAGCACTGTAACATCACCTGCCCGTGGTCAGCCAGAATGGGCACGCCCAGGAGTGCAGTACCTTCCCAAGCATCTCTGCCACTCTTTTCTTAGAAGGTGTGCAGTTACATGATTTAATCCAGCAACTACAGATAATCCTGCTCAGAGCTCAGCACAGGTTATGCTCCTGTGCTGTTTGTATGAGGCTGGGATGTGGGAGCATTGGTTCACACAGAAAGGGCTATATTGGCAAATAGTAACTCTTGAGAAAGCACCTAAGATAAGTTTCCAGGCAAAGTAGTAATTCTTTAGATTTAAAACAGTCAGCAGATTTCAAAGTCAAGCATACCCTGAGAACAATTCCTGGCTTCGCCTGTGTATTGAACTGTCCAAGGAAACAGGAGTGTGCATGGATCACAGAAGCTCTTGCAGTGTGGCGAGAAGGGATGGGAGGGTTTATTTCCATCCTGAAAGAGGCAGTTGGGCAGTTTGTTCCTTGGATAATTTGTGAAGGAAAAGGGGGAGTTTGCACATGCCATAAACCCCAGACTTCTGGTGAATGAGTGAGTTCTGGCATCCAGTGGAGCCTGGGGCTGAGGATGCACGGCTTGTCTTTGATGATGCTCTTCTGGTCTTCCTTGTACACTGCAAGACTGCTGACCCAGCCATGGATGCCTGAGTGCCTTACGCAGCTCACTCGTACCACATCCACCCACCACGTTTTCACTGGTTTAGCTAAATGTGTCATTTAATGGATTTAACTGTGGGGGAGAAGTGCTGTCAGTGCTGTAAGCAAACAAAGTTAGTGACTTAGATGCATTAAAGCATAAACTGAGGAAAAAGGGAAGTATGGCCCCAGGAGAACAAAGGGAGCCACTAGGAGTGACAGTAGGGCAGGAATTACAGTGTCATTGTCATTTTGTCTTTTCATGATTTTCCACTATTATTGCAAAACTACATTGTCAAGAAGGTGTATTCTCATCTCCCTAACTCCTTTCTG